GCGACCTCCAAGCAGAACGTGGATATGTCCAGCTCGACTCGTATTGCTGTGGCATGAGTAGGGAATGTATGTATGTTGTTTACACGGTAGTTGAATGTACGATAGGAAAAGGTGTTTGATTACGCGTCCATTAATACGTCGCGACTACGGTCACGTGACTTAGGTATTACCTCGTGACAACTTCCGAAAGCCTTGTGCCCTGACTGTATTCGGTAGTGCACCGTCTTGACACTGTACCATTATGGAGATGAAGAGCGGGAATACCGAGTGGAGCTCTCTTCAAGGTTCATACGCATACAGGATACAAAGGGAGAATAAGCCGAGCCGGAACCAAAGGCTCTTCAGGTTCGTTGTGCTCCTCGCGACTGGGGCTGCACTGTCTATACTTTTACACGGACCCTGGGCGCGTTCTTGGAGTCTATACGGAAGGTCAGTCCAGTCGACCATTAATGTTCACTTAGACCCTGCCGACGATTGGAAGGACGACACTTGGCCGATACGGGAGCAGACGCCCTGGGACATCTCCACGGACTACCCGTACCCGCGCAAGCTCGAGTACGATGTCGAGGAGGGTACCTGGCTTCGACTGGACGTTCATCCGAAAAGCGGGGACATTGTCTTTGACATGCTCGGAGATATTTATTGTCTTCCAGCTGTTGAATATTTGCAGGGAGACAAGACTGTCCCTACAACGGCCAGGCCTGTCCTTACGGGCATCCCGCATGATAGCGACCCACATTTCTCGCCGGAGGGAGACAGGATTGTCTTTAGGAGCGATGCCGAACTCGGGGTTGAGAACATTTGGCTAATGAAGTGGACTTCGTGCGAAGACATGGATGTCCGTTCCTTGGCAAACCGGAACGAGGAATTGCTGCAAGCTCTCGCATTAGGCGAGGAAGAAGCTGATATGCTTGCAAATGGAATCAAGGAGACTGGTGAACGGAAGAGAAGGCGTCTGTTGTGGGAAGGCCGTCTAGGCGGTGAGCTGCACGTTACTGACATACGGGTATCTGATCATCGCAGCCTTGAATAGCCCGCAGGGTTACGAATGAGACATACCGCTGGGTATCAGATGCCCGCTTCCATCCTTCAGGAGACAAGATCGTCGCTACCAAGTGGTACACGTCCTCCAGAAGCTTGGGTGCTGGAGAGGGGTGGGAGTACATCGTTCCATCTCTGGACGATGATGCTAGGACTGCCACCATTGAAGCGGGCGCTGGCAAGAGGCTTGTAGGCCGCACCCTCCCTGCCGGATGGACATCAGCGCAGTACGCCGACCAACAAATTGGCCCCGAGCAGTTCATTTGGAGAGGCGATGACACTCTCATTTACGCCAAGAATGTGAAAGATATCAACGGCGTGTATACCTATAGCAAAGGTAACCAGTTTGTTCGGTATTGAATTTTCATTTTAACCTCATGGGAACATTGCGTAGATGTTTACCAAGGGATATATGCTATATTCTCGCGTAATCTGACCACTAATGCGACCGACATGCTGGTGGATTCGGTCCCAGGCGGGGCCAGTCGACCAGAGCTATCGAGAGACGGACGGACCCTAGCGTTTGTCCGTCGTGTTCGTGACAAGGAAGCTATAGTGCTGAAGTGCGTATCCATCACAATTCGTCGTATATCTTATATTCATGCGACTATTCGCTAGAGATCTACTTACGGGAACAATCCGAAATATCTGGCATGGCCTAACCTACGATCTATCAGTAATCTCAGCACCCATGGGTACTTACCCTTCCTTCGCTTTCACTCCATCCGATAATGCGATCATCATCTGGGCCGCTGGTAAGATCTATAGAGTCCCGCTGAACACCAATTCCGATGGAGAGAAAGTTGGCTCTGGGACACCAGAGACTATCCCATTCCGCGCGCACGTCGAGAAGCGTCTGGCTGAGACTGTCACTGCTGACCCGGACATTCTCAAATTGGAGTCGGGCAACACACAGAGGGTCTATGCGTTCAAGGAACTCAGCGTCGACGAAAATGGGGAAAAAGCCGTCTTCTCAGCTGCTGGTAAGACATACGTGCAAATCATTGGCTCAGACGAAGATGCAGTGCAAGTACCCGGTCTGGTAGCAAATGCGCCATACTATTCGCCATCGTTCGTCCCTGGTCACAATGACTTTGTTATCCATGCTCGTTGGTCCGACGTTGACTTCACCACCTTTGAGCTGGCGAATTTGACTTCTGGTCAGGCGTTTGCCCTGACTGGATTACCGAAGGGAAGGTACTACACCCCTGTGCTCTGCGAGTGCCTCGGCTTAGGCAGACAGATTGCGTTCATCAAGAATGGGGGAGATCTGCTCACCGGAGATATCGTTGCAACTGCTGGTGCTGGGCTGTACCTCGGGAACATCGAGCTCCCTCATGAGTCAAGTACTACTGAGGTTAAGATCAGCGATGTTCGCTTCTTGCCTTCAGACATCAACGTTGAGGATAAAATCAAGATGAGGTTTCTTGAGAAGAATACAAAATTGCTCGTTCAGCAGTCGGATAAGGCGTTTGTTATCGATCTGGGTGCTAGTACAGATGAACTTGGTAAATACCAACACAAGACGATTGCTACGGGGAAGATGTCTACGGAGTTGTCCGTCTCGCCCAGTCTTGTGCTGGGCAAAACTACGGGACACAGTATTGCTATTGTCGATTTCTTCCATGTGTATGTTGCACCGCCCACAGAAAACGCAGTATGGAGCAAGCCGTTGCAGGCAACGAAGGGACTCGCTCGTCTTAGTCTTGACGGTGGCCACGACATCACTTGGAGTCGCGATGGGAAGAAACTTTTCTGGTTTCTCGGTACAGATACTACAGACAATTTTGCTAGGCCTTACTGACTTCAGGTTACAGGCCGCTTCCTCCATTCTCTCGAAGTCTCGAAGCTTGATAAGTGCAAGTCTGACATCGCCAAGGATACGTTACACTTCGGCATTTCCTGTGCACACAACTTCGTATACTACCAAGGAGTCTCCGTAACATACTCTACGGATGTTAAACGGTTAAGGCAGGAAGCCAGTGTTAATTCGGCGACATATCCCCAGGATGGAGACGTTCTTGCAATCACAAATGCCACTATCCTTACTATGCGAGGCCATTCCTTGGCGGCTGATCTTATTTCGAATGGTATATTGGTAACCCGAGGTGGTATTATTGAGACCATTGGTTCCGCTTCGCTCGTCGATGTACCCGTACGTGCAACGACGATAGATGTGGAAGGAGGTACGTGAACAGAATCTGATCCGGGTACTCGATGTGAATAATACGATAGGCCTGGTGGTCCCTGGCTTCATTGACGGTCATGCCCACTGGAATGGCTTCGAAAATCGGTACCCTGCAAATTCTTGGGAGCTCGAAACGTTCCTTGCTTATGGTATCACGACCTTGCACAAGTAAGAACTGAAACTCCCCCAAACTAATATCCACCCATTGATAATATGTCTGTACAGCCCTAGTTCAGACACTGTTCTCGGGTACGACGAACGCAACCGACTCGAGAGCGGACAGCTGATAGGGCCACGAATCTATCACGTCGGTGACATCATCTATGGAGCCGGCATACCAGGCATACATCAAGATATTGTCGACCAGGATGAGGCTTACTCTGCACTTGTGAGGATCAAAGCAGAGGGTGGTCCCGCTAGTTTTTCGTACAAGAACTATAATCAGCCGTCTAGGTCAGCGCATCAACAGGTTTATGGGGTCGTGCGACTCACTCCGTTATCAGGGCCTCTCGCCAGAGACTACTGTTGGCTGCCCGTAACCTGTCCATGATATGTGTACCGGAGGGTGTACGTGTGATGCTATGCGTTGTAAATGGATACTAACATATGCATCAGGGGATGAATCAAGATTGGGATCTGACATACATAATCGATGGTACGTTCCAGTGTGTCACATGGGACAATTACTCATCTCGGGACTAGGAATGACAACGGTCGAGCACCCTCTCCCCGTTCCGGCTTTGTACGACGACGTGCTTACACTATATGCCTTGAGCGGTACGGCCTCTACTCCGACGCATATAGTCAATTACGGTGGCGCCTTTGGCGAGCAGTTCGTCTGGGCGAAGGAGGATGTACCCAATGATCCGAAGTATGTTTAAGCGATAATGACCTAGCTTCTTCTTCTCATTCGTCGTCAGGCTTCGCCGCTTCACTCGCCATGATGTCTTGGAGGGTCTGTCAGAGTCGACTGCGCGGCCCATGAACTGTCCGTGTCCGTGTTGCTTGTCCTAAGTGACTACTCTGACGCTAGGTATAGCATACCAGCTTTTCAATACTTCTGCATCAGTTGCGAAGATGGTCCAGAAAGGCTTACGTGCACTGATCGGAGCACATGGAGAGCCACCGCTCGGTTTGAACTACCACGCCGAGATATTCTTCACTCAGCAAGGCGGTCTCACTAACTATGAGGTGCGTATAATCGCACGCCTGGCATCGTAACACTGCATAACGTCTTTTTCACAGGCCATTCGCGCTGCGACCTCCGATGCAGCCAAGACCCTCGGCTTGTTCTCTGCTGTCGGTTCCCTGGAGAGCGGCAAGCTGGCGGACTACGTGGTTTATCCACCTGGTGTGGACTTGCTGGCAGGAGATATTCGGGAAACTAGAAATATACGGTATGTAGCCCGAGGAGGTCGGATCTGGGATGCGTCTACCATGGTCGAGATCTGGCCTGTGACTGGACGCAAGTACCAGATGCCGCCTCTGAATCCTGAGTAGGTCGGACTACTTGTTCAATCTGTACAATGTTTACACTTGGACACGCTAGCTTGATCTAAAGCTATCTTGCAAGTATTGACCTGACATATACAAGTATGCCAGTAAGCTTATTGCGTAAGAGCTTCCAGAAGCATTTTGCAGTTATACATATGGTGTAAATTTGGGAGGTATGCCCGATCCATCTGAGTTCAAATGACAACACAAAAATGATGCAAAAGGTTGAACATTGCTTCAGGAAATTTTTAGAAGAGTAGTTAGAAAGCAAAACATTAGCCCACCGCGGGGGTCGAACCCGCAGCCTTCAGATTTCAATACAACCCGCTTGTCAGGCCTTAAAAGTCTGACGCTCTGGCCAATTGAGCTAGGCGGGCCGTATAACCGTTGTTTAGTCAATATATTATATAGGTTAATACTACTTTGGATCTGTAGGATCGAGCCTTCACTCCACTTTGCATCTGTCTCGTCCCACATCCCATATACCAGCTGGACAAGTACCATCCATTTGGTTGTATGCTCCTAAAAAAAATTACAAACACCAGTAGCTCCTATGGATCTGCGCTAAGTGACCGAAAGACACCCAGTGTCACCCACAAACAGTCCTTGCGGCATCTGTGACAGATACTCTCATCGCCTGATCCATACAGAAATATAATATCAATTCAAACTTGGAGTACACCATTCGCCGATATCTCCCAGTCCCAGAGCTTCCCGTTAACTGTCTAATTCTCGAGTTCGCTGAGGTTGCACGTACACGCCCTGGCGCAATGTGCTGGTAGGAGTTGGGCGACAATACCGTATGTGGTTTTTGCAAGGTTCTCAGGTAAATGGCAATACTCCTGCTTTAAAAGGATGTCGGTGCGGGACTCTGCAGCTCGACAGCGAACGGTTATATCTGATTGCGTTTTGCTTTCGTTCCGTCCGTCCAGAAAGCGTTCTCATCCGTGACCTGCTGTAGTTACGCCCGTCGAAGCTCCTCCCTTTCCATAACGCCTAGTCGAATCTTCCAGCGGTATTAGAAGCCGCGGCCGCCAACAACCCCTTGTCTTTGGAACGGAAGACCCACTGCCCAGCGCCTACATGTAGTAGCTACATTTCGATGTGGTAACGGTCAACGATACGCTGAACGCGAATTGATAGGCTGTATCTGGTCTCGTCCGGTGACAGGTCTCCCATCGACTCCCGCAGCACTTTCTCTCAGTCAAATGTCAAGTCAGTGTGCAAGCCGATATGCGTGGGCTTCGGCGTCCCGTGACGGCCTGCAAGACACGCACGTAGGCGTAGTCAGACAAGTAAGGGTACCGTCCCTGCAAATATGCTTGGAAGAAATTGCGGAACTCGGCGGCATGTGCGACGGAGAAAATCTCAATAGAGGTACTGCATCTGTATACCATCAACTCCTCTGGTGCTGGCAGTACAACTGAAAATTTCTGCTGCTCAGGTGCTTGCATAGGAGTCGTAGGGAAGGCATAACGACGGTCAGCACATGATGTAGCTTGGCTTCAAACCCATTTTGTTCCGCAATTTCCAAACGACGTACTTGACTTCGCTATCTCCACTCTGTTGCCTGAGTCCTCGGAATTGTCCTCGATGTAGAGGAACAGAACTGGAGCACCGTAGGCGATTCAAGAAGGATGTTATATCTGCATGTACTACTACTAGCCACCGACTTACATCGTTGTTGGGCGTGAGCCTGATGACATCATTTGTGACTTTGTCACGGTGTCCTTTTCGTATAAGGACACGTCCTTTACTCACCGAGCCGTTAGCCCCTCCTCTCCCATATCCATGTTTGGGTTCACCTGTTTCCCTTCCTCTAAGACGGCCCATTTCTCACCGTTTATTTAGTCTCCACTCCTTCTCGGCGGCACGGGCCGCCGCGGATCCTGATGTCGGGCGTCGACAGGACTCTCAGGCAAAACCCCCACCCCAGGCGCCGTCGAGCGTCTTCTTTGCCACTGACCGAAGCCTCCAGCTCCCTCTTCCTTCCAAGGATTCTGATGTCGGGCGTCGACAGGACTCTCAGGAAAAACCTCCACCCCAGGTGCCGCCGACCTTCTTCTTCGCTACTGGACCTGTACGGCCCAAGCCTTCCCCTTCCTCTCTGCTGAACGCCTTCTGTCCGTCGTCGCCCCGCCGCGCACATCCGGCATCCAGAAAGAGGCTCGTCAACCTCGGGCGGGTTGCGAGATATCCCCCAGCCCCTTCCGCCCGCACGTACCAGCTATGAACTGCATGCGGGCCTGGACGAGCCCATTCTCGGACGACTTTGACCGACGCCTCAGGCTGGAACTCTCACCTCTGTCTGCTCACAAAACTAAAGAATTACTGTTATCTGCACTTGAACCTAATACACGGACTGACTACGGTGATGGCTTGCTCAAATTTCACCAATTTTGCGACGAGCAGGGCATCCCGGAGTCTTCGAGGATGCCGGCCTCTGCTTACCTTCTGGCGGGTTTCGTCGCCTGGCGTGCGGGATTGGTCTCGGGCAGCACGATCGAAGCCTGGCTGACGGCCGTACGCGCTTGGCACGACATCAATGGGGCGCGCTGGGAAGGTGACGCTTGCTTCGTCTCGCTCGTCATGACTTCCGCCTCCAAAGTCTCACCCGCATCTTCTCGTCGGGGGAAACATCCTTGTCTAGTTGGCCGTGAAATAAAAAAGGAGTCATAGTTCAAAGTTCAAAACAAGGCCGACACGGTCCGATACGCTTACCTTGATACCCTCTCTCCAGCATCTCTGCCAAAGCGGCGCAAAAACTCGCACCCGTTTTCTGCTGATGACAGCGCGCATGCTGCCAAAGATCTTGAACACTGTGTTATTTGTCAGCTCTCTGAAAAAAAAAAAGAAATTCCTGTTTATTGTCTCTAGGGTATGACTCTATGTTAGACATTACACGTTGGGTGTCTATATTACATGTTGTTCTTCATCCCATCAAATAAATGGTCTTTGTAATATTCGCGAAGGTGGTCCTTGGTCTCAGCAACGAGTGCAAGTATTCACTGGTAGTCTATCTTCTTTCATGGACTGTGCAGCTCCGAGTCCTTGACCAATATCTTGCACCGTACCAGGCATGTTCAAGCAGGTATGTTTTCACCACGAAGTCAGACTTCTGGACCTTCTAATCTAGATATTGTGGCCAGCCGCACCACTAGCGGCTTGACGGGTCCCGAAGAAGGCGTTCCATGTGGCACCTACGACCAGAGACCTTTGCAGTGTTTCTCTAAGAGCAAGAATGTCTTCTGTTGAGTCAGCGGATTGTTTTGATTTTGAGGAACATTTACGATGGCCGTCGGCGAGGCTTTTATAGCTCGCACGCATTCACAGCTCGCAGTGAATACTGACCCGCCATCGTCTGTGTGGATGGTGAGTACTGATCATTGTAACGGGCACGGTTGTTGCGGGGGCACCTAATAGAACATAGCGAGACTAGAAGAGACCCGCAACGGACTAAGAGAACACGAATAGGCGTCGATTACTGGCGTTGGCAAGACAAAGAGCTACTAACTACCGCGACACGACGAACTAGACTACATTACATAAGCATGGATTGCCTTGGCCATTACAGTCCGCACACAAGATCGCAGCAAGCACGACATTGCCGGCGGATGGTTGCCTGACTGAGTTGTACTGAGTACTGCTGGCAACGGCCGTGGCGGTGAGACCTGTATCGTGATCGCATTTGTAGTCATATAGAAAACGCTGTGACAGCTTGTCTAGATTTGCGACCGGACGACATCGATGATTACGAAGAGACCTCCGAACACACATTATATATATAAGTTGTGTGGACGCATTGATAATTTCAGGAGTCCGTTCATAATGGGCACATTAATTAATAACAGTCTTTGGCATTTTCTTTGGCGGCTCGTCCTCGTCGCCCTCCTCCTTCACTTTGGGCTTTGGCTTGGGACGTCGAAGCCTCATCCCTTGGGCTTGTCGTGCAGTGTCCGAATGTGGCTGCCACCCGATCGTGGCTAGATCTTGCCACATCGTGATTCGTGACCTCAGCTAGATCTTGCCACACCGTGACCTCGGCTAGATCTTGCCACATCCGAATCGTGACCTCGGCTCTCCCACAACATACGTGCAGAAACGTTCTCCGAGCACTGGTGGTGCAATGCAGGGAAGAAACAGAAAAGATCAAGGAAAGCGATACGATTTACGATGGCGACACTCAATCCTTCTGATTGGCCGCCACCCGATCGCGATTGCAGCAAGTTCTGATTGGCTGCCACCCGATCGCAGTTGCGGCTTCGGATTGGATGCCACTGCGGCTAACCCGAATCCCGATCGCGGCTAGATCTTGCCACCACGTACTTATCAGAGTAGCACGCTAGTGTAGAACTAGAATACAGGAGGAGGAGGACATAGTACACTTTTGTCGTCATACCCAAGTCGTGAGCGCGTCAAGTCTGTGAAGCTTATCGTTACAACATACCAAACCAACGTCAACGAAACAAAAAACACGAAACCGAAACATGAAACAGTCCAAAGAGCCCCCACCCCTAACTCACCCCCAACCCAACCCCCCCTCACTCCCCCACCCCCCGCCCCAAATCAACCACACACGCCCACTCAAACACGCTCACCCCCTCCCCCAACGCAACGCTCCTCACCTCCCTATCCCGCACCTCCTCGCCCATCCTTGCCAGAGCCGCGAGGTGCGCGGGGTGCGTGATCCCGAGGCGCGCGAGCGTCGGGAGGAGGTGCGTGAGCGGGGGCGTGGGCGCGGAGAGGAGGGAGGCGAGCGTCGTGGGGGGCGGGGAGGTGGGGTGGCGGGTGGTGGTGGATTGCGATGGCGTGCGGGTGTGGTGGTGGTTGATGTTGATCGTGGATTGGGAGTTCGACGGCGTGCGGCGGGGTCGCGGGCTGCCGTGCGAATGCGAGCGGTTCGAGAGCGGCGGGGAGGGGAGGGAGGGGTACGACGCTGAGATGGCGTGCGAGGGCAGGGAGTGGTACGACGCTGACATGACGTGGGGTGACTGCAGCATAACATGTACATTAATGAATGCAGAGACGGTAGAAATTGAATGGACCTTCACGCGTTCCCAGCCCCGTTCGCTGCCGGTGCCCGAGGGAGACCTGACCCGCTCGTGCCCGCCACTCAGCCTCCGCGCGCTCGTGCTCCCGGTGTGCATGTACTCGAAGAGCCCCTTGCCCCGCCGCCGCCCCATCTCGCCCATCTCGCTAACCGGCGCGTCCATCTCAGTAAGTGGCCCCTCCTCGTCCTCGACATCGCCGTCGACGCTCTTCGCGACCTCCTCCCGCCAGACGGACACGGTCCGCTCCGGGCCGTCCTCCAGTATCTTGCGCTCCACGAGCTGGAAGCCCCGCCTCCCCGCCTCGGCCCTCCGCGATGCAGCGCCCG